TTTGTGCTGTGCAGAAGTGGCATCCGAGTTGGCGAATCCCTCTTACATGGGTGGAAGAGGAGCACAGGTTTCCAAGATGTGTGTACACACTGCGAGAGGGAAAAGATTCCGCTAGGAAAATTCAACCTGACATTGGTTATGTTGTTGTTTTTAGAAGTTCAGATTCTTCTTAGTCACTTCTTAGTCATAACAATAGGTCCCCCTAGCGGATAAAAATGTAATGGATACCTTTTTTCCTGCAAATCTCATCGTGCCAAGGCAATGTATTGGGCTTGATTACCAAGTGGATGCCTGCCCATTTGTATAAACGCGGGCATGAAGAGCTGTGATTAACTTTTGTGCAACTCTTCCAAAACGTAAAGCACATTTGAAGTGATATGTGCTTTAATTGGGCTGCTTCATTAAGAAATCAAGCCACAATTCTTCCTGATGCAGTATTTAATGTGGCCTTGAAACAGCACCTCATAAGCCCGTGTTTTATGTGTGATTTTTTAAAAATACATATAAGTCAAACAACTTTACTGCTAAGATTGCCCTGTCTGAGGTGTAATAAGGAAGACCACACTCCTTAACTTTTTTTTTTTTTTTTAAGAAAAATGAGTCACAACAACACTTTCCCGAGTCATGATATTCAGTGTTTCACAAAGTAATGAATTAGATGCTGTTAGTGCTGCAACTGTTTTTATAAACGCGGCAGCCATCATAAACAGATATAATTAGTTCACTCGCATACCTCCAGACATCAGTAGCTATTTTCTAGGTGAAGCAATCTCAGTTAGCAGAGTGGGAGGTATGTTTAGCGTTTTTTTCAAAGTACCAGGGAATTATCTGACTTCCAGTGGAGACTAAAGAACTGATTTGTTTAATACATTGTTCAAACAGCAAAATTTGGAACAACAATGTTCCTCAGCACTGAGTAAGAGTTTAAACATGGAACAGGGCCACTAACCATATTCTGTTAGCCTGCAGGGAATTATTCCTTCATTTGGGATTTTTTTAAATGCCCTTTTAAGGAGATCTATAGTATCAGCTACATTAATTGGTGATTTTAACTAATTTCACTTTTACATATTTGCTTGTTTGCCCACAATTATTTTTTCCACACAGCAACTACAAATATGATACATATATTTTACTGGTTTCCCTTTTTTCTTTCTAAGGACAGCACATTGCTTCAATTTGTATTATTTTATAGAGATAAAATAATACCTTTCACTATACAACAGAAGACAACAGGTATTTTTTTCATCATGAAACAAAGAAAATTGACTCCATTCAGTAGCAGCTTGCACAGCTCCTATTTCAATGGGTAGCTGTTTTCTTATACTTAGACATTTCTTATTCTAGTCTTTCCTGCACAACTGCATTATTGTGTTGTAACTTCCCTACCTCCAGCAGGGGCCTTGAAATGACTTCTTCCAAAACTCGAGAAATTTAGTGAAGACCAAAAAGGGGCATGTGCAACCTCCACTGGCCAAGCAATTACCTGCTATTTCAAAATGATTTATATAGAAAATCCCCACTTATTCTATATTCTGAGCTATCACTCCTTACAGCTGGTACTTGCCAACATGCTCAGTTTGCTTAGCAACAGCTTTACCACTTGTCCTATCAGCATAAAAGATACTTGCAGATTCTCCGAGTGCTTGTGAGGTGTCTATACTGCCTTTCTATTCATTTGTGATATTTTATTTGCATTTTCCAATCGGATTTGTACAGATTTTTCTCTGGCATAGCTTAGGGATACCAGAAGGGCTCAAGGCACCGACCTCCCTGCAGAATCATTTTTCCTTCGTAACTCAATGGTGAAAACGGTCTTAGCATCCCTACAAACGTACTTCAGTGCCAATTCTCTCTCTGTGAGGCTGCAAATGACCTCTGGAAGTTTTGCTGGTGACAGCCACTAGCTTGTAAAAATCTTGACCGAATGAAAACATCCAAGGAAAATGCAGCTCTGCCTTCAGCTATGGCTGTGTGGGCAGCAAGACAAGCTACATTCACAACTTTACCAGCTCTCTAATAACAGCTAATTTGGTAAAAATAAGGTAAGGGCTGTTTATGTGAGTAGCACATCCAACAGACTGGAGTAGAGGAAAAAAATTCTCCAGCCATGTGAGTGGTAGAGAGCAACTACAAGCTACCTAGGCAGGTCTAAGCTCTTCCACAGGAGCTTCTGGATTTATGGTAACTGTCCTCAGCATCTGTTCGTGGGTAATGTGTTCTGTAATTTTAATAAAGCTTTTAATAAAGATCATTAAGCCTTGGTATCACAGAACTCCACAAAGAGCAAAACTTGTTTAAAAAAATCTCAAAAAAATTGTCCACACTCATCTTCATAGCATGGTCACAACATAAAACCTCATGAAATGCCCGGCTTCCTGGGCTGTAGCCGCTGCAGGAAGTGAGGACGTACTCTGAGCTAAGGCACGAGCTCCAGGGGGGCTCAGGGCTGCACAACCGGGGCAACCTAACACAACCCACCAGTGCTGGCCG